ACTTATTTACTTACTTACTTACTTACTTTTTTACTTATTTACTTACTTACTTACCCACCAAAAAAAATTAATTTTAAAAAACACTTTTCTAAAGGTCATAATGACTATAAAATATAATAAAAAAATGTTCTTCCAGTTCAGCCTGGGTTCCTCTTTGTAGTAAAAAGAACATAATAAATCTTCATGAAAAAATATATATTATGTTACAGATTTGTAAAACAGCTTCTACATGACCCCATAAAAGTTTTGATAAAGTTTTAAGGCAACAGAAATCCACTTCAGAGCTGGGCCTGCTCAAACAAGTCATTAGCTTGTCAGTCTGGTCAGAACTAGTTTCCATCTCTCCAGGCTTTCATTCAAAAAGCTGTCWACAGCTRATAACCTTTCCACAGAATCCCACTTCAAAAAAAATATGCACAATCTCTTGAAATGTTAGTATTCATAGATCCAGTTACTTTGGTTACAGTTCTTCTCATGCCTGTTTTGCTCTGTAATCAACACAATCAACACAAACTCCAGATGAACTGAAGGGTCCTCCTGCTTTTTGATGTCAGCTCAGTAAATGAGGAGCTCCCCTCACAGCACAGCCTCTTGTATCAAATATCAAACAGTTTTCCCTGTTTTTAATGATAATTTGTTGCATTGAACATGAACTGAACTCGATCCAATAAAGACTTTGACCACAATGTGCCACTTCCCATGTCTGTCTTGTTTTTTATTTTAAGCCTATCATCAATCAGGAAGGCTGTCACATGCTAATTTTCAGCCTGTCTCGGTCGTATTTATAGTCAGTCAGCGGCATGCTGTGCAGTCATCACACATCTAACAGACAAGCTGTGCTGCTCGATCTCTCCTCTTGTGGCCCAAGTTTATCACCGTCCTGTCTTTGTTGGTTTTATATTAGCAGGAACACGAAGGTTGGGTGCATTTATACTCCTAAGGGACGTGTGTCTACCACTGATTCATCGGACATGCACTTCCAGAAACCGCATACAGAGATGGAGAGAGGAGGACTCTATTTATTCGACCCCATTCTGTAAGATTTGCAGTGTTATTAATCATGCTGCGAGGATGCAGTAAAATTATCCCAGCTTCCCTTGGTGTTCATATAAATAGATTAGTAGATTTCTCAGTCAGTGTCCTGTGTTATCTTTWATCACACACCAGACCTTTAGCCTATACAACCAGTTTGTCCAAAAGTTTGAGATTAAATATGTGGATGATGTCAGGACATTTTTCAGGTTTTACCTATCGTCAGCCAGGCTGGAGATAATCTGATCTGTGTGCTGCACGCTCAGCTCTGGGGTGGGGGTCAAGAAGTTTTACTCATGGGAGCTGGATTTAGACCCCCACCCCCCACCCCCAGGGTAGACAGTTCTTGTCTTTTAGCCACATTCATTGTTTGTCTGACGTTGGACCCTAAAGACTCCACAGTTCACTCATGTGGGCTCCCAAATCCCGAGGGTCCTCCCGTCTGCCACACACTAAATCCCCATTCACTCGCACTCTTTCAGCTGGAAGTTCTCTTCATGTGGAGTCAGTCCTTAAAAAAGTCCCTCAGGATCGAACGCATGCCCACGTCAGGGAAACGTGTTGAAGCTAAATCAGCTATTTTTATACCTCTAAAGGTCTTTTGACAATAAAACACTCCAATCTCATGGGAGGAAACAGCTGCTGACTCTAAAAATAGGAGCTCTGTTAACTTTGTGAAACAGAATTGTCTCCCTCTCTCTAATTATGTAAATGTGTGACTTTTACTCAGACAGATTAAGTAAACTTGGATTACACACAGGAGTAGGTGGGCTCTGCAGACAGCAAAAACACAAAGCCAGCCACGTTACATAACCGAAGCTAATAWTCAGCTTCAACTTTGTTTTTGGTTGCCACATAATACGTCTCAGAGTCCTTCCTGCAGGCATTACCTGAGCAGCTGTATATGGTACTGAGTCTTCTCTTTATGTTGGAGTCCTGCAGTGTCAGGTGTCCAGTCGGTTTGTTGAAACAAAGCTAAATTCTGCTCTGAGTTCATGGAGTGATCAGTCAGAAAACTCATTCTGTAGTTAAATATGCAACGCACTATAAATCAGATGAGTACATTCAGTTTGTATGTATGAATGTATGTATATATATATATATATATATATATATATATTGTATATGTGTGCGCGTGTGTGTGTGTGTGTGTGTGTGTGTGTGTGTGTGTGTGTGTGTGTGTGTGTGTGTGTGTAAACACATTATTATTATTTGCCACATAAAACACTTCAGAATTTAGTTTGTTTGTTCACTAAAACAATAGACATTAAGTTCATTCAACTAATTAAAATATTTAGAGGCATTTTTCCTCATTGTTATTTTGACCAATTTAGAGTTCAGCTTTTTGAAGTGTAGATCAGTGGAAAGCTTATTAACAATTATTATCTTACCTGATGAAGGTAGCTGTAAATTGCTGCTGTTTATACCCCCACCCCCATCTTGTTGATTTCACAGTGATTCATGCAAGCGCTTAACTGACTATTTGTATTACATGTTTATTTTACTTTACATAAAATTATATGTAAATACATGAGTACATATAGCAGCGCTAGCAAGTAGATGTATAAAATTATCGTACTTTAGCAACTGTGCAATGAGAAACTGATGTAAAGAAGTGTTTTTGTGAAGCACTATACATTTTTGAGTCTGCGTTTGTTTTAAAATGGCAATAATCCTCAGGCTTTGTACGTACAAAAGTCCTTTTTTTTACAATACAAACTTCTTACTTGTCATTTCTAAATTTATCCTTATAAACACTGCACAGTTTCTAGAATTGTCAGTGTTGTAAAAAGTACCACAAAGTGATACTTGAGTAAAAATAAAAGCATCTTACCGCAGAATTACTTTAGTAAATGTTAAAGTCTTCTTCAAGAATAGTACTTGAGTAAAAGTCTTAAAGTATTTCATATTGTACTTAAGTATCAAAAGTACATTTTTGATATAAAATTTATTTAAGGTATTTAATGTATTTAAAGTAAAAATACTGAGTAAAACTGAGAGGTTAGAATGTCAAAAACGACTGACAAAAACCATTATTCTAAAGGCCATCATGACTGCAATGTTATAATAAAACTATGCTAATGTAGAAAAATTTGAGATGTACTTGTCTACTTGTTTCATCTGCATACCTCTGCCACGGTCATCTTCATAAAAGACTACAAACACCTCATATGTTCTGCTGGAGTGTGACGTGAATTGTGTCACACAGGTGTGATGGATCGCACAAACCAATTGGGTGTTGGAATGGTTTATAATTATACTTCTCATCCAATCCCAATCAAATTCTTCAACTCTATTCAGGAGTTTTGTTTTTTTTAACAATGACAAAACAAAATGAAAAGCAAAAATGACTACAGTATATAACGACTTTCTACTTCTAACGTTTTTTAAAAATGTAAAGAATAGAAAGTACATATAGTTGTGTGGAAATGTAAGGAGTTGAAGGAAAAAGACAGCTAAAAAATAATTACTCAAGTAAAATATAGATAACCAAAATATCTAGTTAAGTAAAATATCAAAGTATTTGTAGTTACTTAACACCTCTGAGAAATGTTTTCATTCAGACAAAAATGACACAAAACACTRTAGTAACTATTCTAGGCCTGCATGTGGCACTGTAATGCTGCCAACAAAAACACACCAAAAACAGGAAACAAGATGTGGAGCATGCTCAGAAAACCTGAAAGCTTTTTTATAGATGACACAGAACTTGCTTCTATTCGCTTAAAACTAAGAATGAACAGAAAACAGCAGCTACGTGTTTATTTCATAGCTGTGTTGCAACCATTAGGATCAACTGTTTTGGTGCTGGGCTGACAAAAGTTTTTTTTTTTTTTACTTTTTAGGAATTGTAATGTTGTTAGTCTCTAAAGCATTGTTTACCTCACAGTCCAAGTTCCAATAACCCAGATCTTCAGTGCACACACATTAAAGTTAACATACATCACAGAAAGTGATTTTGCTCTCTCGGTGCTTAAAAAGCCTTCTGTGACCCTCCGTGGGTGTGTGTTTGTGTATGTTCTTAGTCATGGAGACGGTAAGCTTTCTGCTGATTAGGATGAATAGAGTAAATAATTGGATGTCCAAAATAATGGAAGCGATTGGGAAGGACAATGAAACCTTGTGGGAGAGGATACTTCATCTCAAAGAAGCATTCAGGAAACTGAGCTGTGAAGGATCTACCATCCCGGCCCACCTCCCACGGCCATTGTGAAGGAATATCAGAGGCTCAGGTGTCATTCTATTTTCCTGGAGCTGACCGAGTGGAACTCGTCTGGTTTCAAGTGACCTAAAAGTATTTTCTTATTAAAYGTAACACCATGTTCAGACAGAAATATAGCATGGTTGGAAATGTGTTGAAGAGTCTAAATCATGCTCTATTTGTTGTTTCTAGTTCAGGATTTGAACAGCCAGGCAGAACTAGAGTAGAACTTGGATCCTAACACTGAAACCGAAAACTGTTGTGCTGCAACATGACCCAACTTTCTAGAATATACAGCAAATCCAGAGTGGACTTCTAACACTGTTTTGACTGATGGTTTACTTTTTTAAAGTAGGACATCTTTTTTTTTTACCAGCTGCACCTGTAGCCAAACACCTGGTTCTCAGTGACTGATCATTCCTACATGCTGCCTCCTCTCTGGGCTATTTGTTCATCTCTATTGCTCTTTTTTGCCCTTGTTATTTTTACAAACTCAGAAACACTGAGTCACCCGCATGCACTCCGTGATTTTTTTTATTTTAAAGGGATAATTCAGACCGTTTGAATTGGAGCTCTAAATAACTGAGGCCAATTCATGTTTTACCATTTTGTTAATCGTTTTTTAAATGGCTCACGTTTGGAGAAACAGGCTGTGATTTGGACTGAATTGATGAGCTAACAGTTTGTCAGAGAATCAGCTCGAGTGGATAGCAGTTCAAGCAAAGAATGTTTTATGAACCTTTACATGGCTGTCACACTAGAAGGATTTCCAGGTTAGAAATGTTACAATAGCTGCTGCTGTTGCTATTTGCTCTTGCTAATCTTTAAACATTTCTGTGTAAATATGCAGGGCAATGCAAAATCTATTATTTATTTATTTATTTTTATTTATTTATTTATTTATTTTTTGCGGTTTGACTTAAAAGGAGGCCAGTCCATTTTTATCTTTGACTTTTCTTGTCAGTCCGGTCAGAATTAAACTCTTTYCCCCCACACTGAGGTCATTCTTAAAGCTATCTGCAACAGGTAAGACATTAATTGTTCATTTGGGTGGCTGTGGCTGAATGTCTATGGGAGTTTGTCCTTTCAGTGACTGAGTTGGGGCTTTGATTCGACCACTATTCAGTCACATGTTCCTGGGCAAGACACTGAACCCTTCATTGCCTCTAATGCGCGTCCCATCAGTGTATGAATGTGATCTGCACTGATCAGACTCCACAGAATGATCTGTCCCGATTAGCTTTGTAGAGAGACAGAGTAGAGTGCTGTGTGAATGGGTAAATGAGGGCACAGATTGTAAGGTAAAGTGCTTTGAATATCCTGGTTAGATAAAATGAACTATATATGTACTGTATATGTAAATGTTCATAACATTTCCATGATTGATTGATTGATTGATTGATTGATTGATTGATTGATTGGTGATGCCTTTATTGTCATTATATGGAGCACAATGAAATTTCATTTAAGGATGGATCTCCACTTCAAAAGATCTGAACTATTGCTTTAAGTGATGCAGGTTAGTTGAAGCCCACAGGCTTATATTACTTGTTGCTGAGATGATGGTAAAGATAACAGCCACAATTTTAATGATGATCAGTGTGTGGCTTGGAGTTTTGTCTTTATTTGTATGTTTTTACTTGACATACTGCACACTAGATATCTCTGTTGATTAACAGGTGAATGAAATTAAATCACACTGAGTTAGGAGGTCAAACGGAATCTCAGTAATAATCTTTTATTTTATTTATATATTTTTTGTTCCTCCACATCAAYAATTTTCTTACATTAAAGGATTTGTGAAGCATGGAGCAACAGATGTATCCATTACCTTGAATCATACCTGTTTTTCACTTTGTAAGGAAGAAAATAACTCAAACTGCACTGTAAAAATGAAATGTTGGATTTACTTAACCATGTTATGTGACCTGGTTCCACTTAACTGAGTTGAGTAAATTCAAAGCAATATACCAGTTTTTTAACCAAAGAACATGAGCATGTTGCTTTGAATTTACTCAACTCAGTTAAGTGGAACCAGGTCACATAACATGGTTAAGTAAATCCAACATTTCATTTTTAGAGTGTGTGTTTGTTTATCTGGATACAATTTTTAACCCCCGATGATATTATTATCCGAAATGAATTTGTTCTTATAGATTTTATCCAATCTTTAAAAAAGTTAATGTTTTATTTGACAGTGATTGGTTAAACAATCTTAAAGAAACAATCATCATTTTAGTGAATTGTCAATAAATGTTTGCAAGATCAAATAATGAATAATTTCTCCTTATGGGATAATGTAACAGTGTTAACTTTGCTGTGTTTGTATCATCTGACCTTTCTCTCATGAGCTAATAGATAGATGTAAATGCTTGGTTTTGTTTCTTTTTATTTATATTTTTGATTTTTACAAGTTTGAACCATTCAAGATCCCATGATGACATCACAAAAACAAAGAAATCAACAAGTCTTATTGGCCTGCTCAAATTCATCTGAATGAATAACCTCATTTGAAGGAGGAGAATATTTAGATCCTAGAAAATGAACAAAAATGGTCACAAAATCTTATGCGAACTGTAATGCAATTTATCGTTTTAGGTCTGTAATGGGTTATGATAGAAATGAGGTGACAAAAAAAGACTTCAGCTTTAGTTTGTGCTGTTTTCATCACCATGCAGTGACAAAGGACATGAAGTCATTTTTTCTTTAATTTTGCCCACAAAGCTTTCACACACATGCAATACAAACAGATATTTACAATATATTCTCATTTAAAGTGGGACTTTAGAACTAGATTCATGAAACTATGATTGATTTTAATGGATTCCAGTGACTGGTGCAGCGCTCTACTGCCATTTCTATAAAAAATGTTTGACAGATATTGCTGTGGCRTTCAGCCTGAGAGTTTAAAGAGAAAGTTGTGTGTCCTCTGCTCACCTTTTTATACACCTGTCATACTCCAGGCTCCAGAACTGTAAGATCTGATCTTGGTTCCCAGCRTTCCCACTAACCAAACTGAGGCATTCTTTCTGGATCTGCHACTTCAGCTACTCAAAAACTGAAGATTTCCACTCCATCATCTTCAGCAAAAGGCACAAAGTGTCCTCAGACTCCATTCTCGCTCGATTCCATTCCCGCTCCTTTGTTTTGAGGAGGTTTTGCCTGTTCTAACCCAGATGAACCGCACCAGAACTTTTAGGCCGAGTTCCTTCTGAGTGCAAAGCAGGTGTAAAGCTTTTTGGTYGGAGCTATCCAAATGATAATTCAGCTTTCTGTATCTCCATCCTTRGGGTAGTTTCTTCAGCTGCTCTTCTTACTTTCGGTCCTCTTACTTTTTCCCAGCCTCAGGTCATTTCTTCACATTTATCTAAAAAGAAATGTGCAACAKCCCCAAATGTCTCTCTCTATCAATCTCCTGAAATCTGATCTAGTTGGCGAGCCGCTCTTTCTCCTCTCTCTCTCTCTGTTCCTGCTTCGTGTGCTATCACAGAAGCTACCATTTGCAGCCTCCCTCTCTCTCTCCATCCCTCCCTCCCTCCCTCCCTCTTTTTTCTCCTCCTCTCTACTATTTGTCTCCCTATCTTGTTCTCACCCTCCCCTCCTCACGTCATGGCACTACCAATGGACGGCAACCTGATGCACAGACTCATCATTCAGAAAAGTACAGCATCATCCTACAAAAGCAGAGGATGCAACCGAAAGGAAAATGCCTCTGGATGTAACACACAAAACGAATCCCACTTGTTGTRCACCATAACTCATCCACAACACACGATTAAGTATTTTATATATTATTTATAGTATTTATTTTAATTACTTTTTTGCTGAGCAACCGTTTGTCAGGCTGCTTTCTCCACAGACCTTTAATTTTGTTCATTTTCATGAATATTTAGGCTTAGGAGTTTAAAATACATAGTTATGGTTRGGAAGATAGAAAACTATGCATGCAGTTATTTAAATCACTTATTTTGGACTTCTATAACTTATTCCCCCATTGCACTGAAGAAATTTAAAGTTATTAGAGGTTAGTACTGATGTTAAAAGCACAACACTATGTTCTTAGGTTTTCCTTTTTGTAATGTTGACAGTGTTTAATCTATTATGTTTTGATTGATATAGATCAGTTACATGTCCGAAATAGGTGACAACACATAATCAACCGTTATGATAAGAGTAGATGAGGATTTTGTCTGAATACCTGTGATTCAGCCGTAGGTCAGTAGGGGGTGAACGCAAGCATTGAAGAACCTGTATAAATAGATGAACTTCCTGGTTTTTCGCCAGTGTTGGTTTCCTGTCAGCTTGAGTGACAATAAACTTCACTCAGATCCAGAATTCTGGTGTTGTATGGTTTGATTCCTTCTACAAATCATTTTACTTAACAATGGTGTTTTTAATATCAACTTCAGTTTATTGAATACAAATTTTCTCACAGCACTATAAGATAAACTGTACTCATAAAGTGATAAAGGTACAAGAGTTATAACAATGAAGAGAGATTGATCTGCTAAAGTTCTCTACTGTTTTTCTTCCAAGGAAGCAGACTCTTGGAATCTTTTAGTGACAGTGATGAAGTGGTTCCCCCTTTTTATTAAACTTTGTCTGTTTTTTCTCTCATTTTCTCTCCAGTTCCTGTCCCTGAAGTGACAGAATAATGTGCCAGCCTAAAACTGAGGAAAGTGGACAAGTTGCGATTAATCGCGATGAAAATTTTTAATCCATGCCCGGCACTAAAATTAATCATTATGAGTTAACTCGATTAATTTCACAGCCCTAAACTAATTGAAATATACAGTACATCCTCATAGTTGGAATAATAAAATAACTTTTCCCTGAGTATGATCAGATTCTGGACAGAAAATGAATTAAAAAGCAGCCAAAGTTCAWAGGAACAAATTGGCAGAAACTGTTCATGAAAACTATTTTAACAGAGCCAAAGAAAGCCTTTCTCCTTGGAAACAAAATGTTAAGAAATAAGAGATGACTTGAGACTTTTGCATTGTATTGTACAAAGCTAGGGTTGCAAAAAAAACTACATAATTACAGACTACAAAATTTAGTACTGAAAGGTTCTGACTCCCATCATGCTCCACAAATACYAACCTGATAATATGCTGCCTTCTCAGAGGTACACATGAATCCTGACATCACTGTGTTGGAAAGGTGCAGATTCTGTAGATTCTATGTTTTCTGATGAGATCCAGTTCAGTTTATTCTCATCAACTTAACTGATCAACTTTACTGCTTAAATTGGTTGACAAAATGTGTCATGTACTGTAATTTCTTTATTTTTATTTTTTTTGTTTACAGAAAATTTAGAAAAACTGAATGTAGAAGATAATACTGATATTCAGTGATAACAGTGCAACAGAAGTGTTTGCATCATCTTAGCTGAGACTGGTGGTCTTAGTGTCCCCTCCATCTGCAACCAGAAATGGACAAAAATAAAATGAAKGACAATAAGCTTGTTAGGAAGAACATATTTTAATTTCTTGTTGGTATGAGCAGAACAGAGCTGTTGCATCACAGCAAGAAGGTCGCAGATAAAAAGAAAACCTCAGCTGAGACCTTTCTGTGTGGAGTTTGCATGTTCTTYCTGTGCTCATGTGGATTTTCTCTGGACACTCTGGTTTCCTCAAACAGACCAAAAACGTGTTTTGGGTTAAGTTGTAACTCTATTGTCCCTTAGTGTGAGTTAGAGCATTGGTCTTTATGTGGCCCTGTTGGACAGGAAGTGCAAGTTAAGAAAATAAGTGGATGGATGTTTATTTATTTTTTATAACCTGTAAAAATGATAGTTTAGTTATTTTGCAGTGGCATTCTGAGGGAAGGTTATGACCAACTAAATATCTTATCTGGTGTAGATATTTATAAGAACAACCTCAGTTTGGACAAATTAAGTTTAATTCTRACTAAATGAGTTTACCAGAAAGGGTTTCTAAAAGTCCAGAGCAGTTTGTTAAACTTACCTACACCAGGTAAGATATTAATTACATTAACGAGTCTCCCACATAAAGACAAAGAACCTTAGATTAAAGGCGTCATTTTTATCAACAGACGTTCATTTTTTTTTCCTCTCAGGACATTGTTTATTTTTTAAACCTGTTTTGCACAAAGAAGCATTTTTAAGACTGATTGATWATAATATTGAAGTTRTCACATTTAAAATAGCRACACTATAAAGGTGGTTTGTTGTTTTATTTAAAAAGGTTGTAGTTCATTTTTGTTTCAACCTGCAATTTTTTTCAGTTCTCTTTTAGTTCAATTGTTCAAAAAAGATTTTAGTGTGAAATAAACTACAATGTGTGTGGACATTTTCTTCCCAGCAGAAAAAGTTTGGGAACCACTGCATTAAAAKATAAAGACAGTCTATTTCAGATTCCACTGAGGTCATGTTTAACTTCAAGTAACTGTGCACTCTATGTTGTGCTTGTTTTATTCAAAGACTGGTGCAAAATATATATATTTTCTTGTTTATAATAATCATAAAGCAACATTAAACTTTAAAATGTASAATGTAATTTTTGCACCATCGATTATATAATTCTACTTGGTTTATAAAAGATTAATTTTAGTAACATRTTCATGTTAAGCCTTATATATTTCTTGTTTAGTGTATAAAATTCAAGAGGAACAAAAATATTATTTTCAACTACTTGATGCATTTATTTTTTTCAAGTCTGAATTTAAGCCTATATTTACTGTAGATTTTTTTTACCCCCACTTATCTTGTCCTTAACCTTCATCCAAAATTCATCAAGGTTATTTTCCTTGGCATGTGACTGCATTACTTTGCTCTGGAGCTGCAGAAATGACCCGGGTCAAACCTTCACGTGTCTCTCTGACCTGTGATAGCTCGTTACTCTAATGACAGACTGCAGGGGTTTTAAAACACCACTCCACGGGCTGCTGCGTCCTGTTGGAGACTGATGCCTTTCACACTTGTCACCAGCAGCTAATCAACCGAATTTGACCTGACGGTGTTTGCGTGCGCCACCTGAATGCGTGTGTGTTTGGCAGCGTGACTGTCCTACGAAGCCCAATCAGAATTATTAGAGCGACGTCAATCAGTCTTGGTTAAAGTGCTGTTTTGCATACTGAAGCTTTCAGGGAAACAGCTACGGCTTGAGCAAGATGCGGTGTTCACACTGAGCCCATAACGTTCTTCTCTGTCCCTGATTCTTGCCTTTAGTCGGAGCGTTTTTCTCGCTCGCCACCACCACCACCGTGGAGTACTTCACTGTTAACCTCGACAGATTCTAAGTGTGACATTCTCCTCCGAGCTGAGCGCCTTGTTTCTCTTTTCTCACGTCGTCCCGGAGAATCAGTCGTCAGTCAAATGCAAAAAAAAAAAAAAAGGAGATGACAATTAGTAAGAGAGGGGGCTGAAAGAGTGAGAAGTTTCTAAATACAGCCTCACTGGCTCGGCCCCAGCTTTATCACTAATGATTCATCAGTGCAGGAACCCTTTCCCTCTTTGCTTTTTTCTCCTTCCCAATCCTGGCTCTGATTTTCAGAGTTCAGAATCTGCAATGGGCTTGCGTGCGATCATCACCAGGCTATTGTGTGCTTGGATGACGACGTCAACTAATGGAGCTCCAAAAAGAGTCCGGCTCTGGCACCGCTCGGCCTGTGTCGGCAACAGGTATCATACTGATTCTCGCATAATGCAAAGTCTTACGGTGCAACAAGCTGGGAGAACAGTAGATCACAAGGTTCACACTTTCAGACTGTAAACGCCGTTATGTAACTGCAACATAATCACAGGTGGCTGCTCAAATATCCTTTGCATGTCTGTGTCTAAATGAGAGGGCTTTGCCTCCAAGGGACACGGCTAAGTGGGATTCACTGCTGCTTCCATGGCTACAGTTATAACACTTTTCCCTCTATTTTCAGATCAAAAAGAGCTGATAGAAAATGAAGGAAGAAAACACAGAGAGGGCAGAAGAACACAGCAGTTATTGCACTTTTTRTTTGCCTATTTGTTGAACTCAAGCACTTTGAGAAAATCAAAAGTGAGGGATTTGAAAACACTGATGAAAGCATGATTAATACAAAATACAAAAAAAGGCATAATCACAGTTTAGCTCAAAAAGACTAAGAATAACTTCAAAAATAGGCGTGACACGTGACGTGCTCAGGTGTTAAAACAGCAGCTGAGTGAGAAAAGTGAAGAAAAAAAAGGGATTTGGTCTCAGTGCCATTACTCCTGCCAGTTGTGAGCAGTCAGGTATGATTTGCATTAATCAGAAGGACCCTAAAAATAAACTTTTCATAATCTCTCTGGTGATAGCGGCTGTGGCGTTTCATTTTTTACTCGCCCAGCAGACACTGTCCAGGAGCTCTGTTGACTTATTGCTGCTGACAGCTCAATCTCTCTTAAGATCCAAAGAAGTTCTGACACTGTAAGGGTAGCAGTTACTTTTTTGGAGGAATTTGTACA